TGGCGGGTCCGGGCTGGGGATTCGAACCCGCCACCTTAGGTGTATGTGGCTGGCGCCTTAGCCGGTTGAGCTATAGGCGCCGAGCCCATTAATCTGATTCTTTATATGTCCTCTCAAGTATCTCCAAAAAATAGTAACCCAACTAGGAGTTTCTACTTTTACATTTAATTTATCAGTAAGAGAAAGTGACAGGACTAACACTATTTTGGGGTAAAGCCTCCCAAACAACCTATTATCTGCTGTTACCAATATTTCATAAAATAAAGAATAACACCCCCTAAAAATATCAGATTAAAAGAATACTTCTGATCTAGTCCCAGCTTGAATCGTGACAGGAAATTTAATACCACTTTAGGCAGTCCATTTCAGATAGCTGTCTTTCTTTTGTTGTATTAGGTTAAAAATCTGCCTCCCTATAATTTTTTCTTTTTTTTTTTGAGTTATTTTGTCACCCTCAGTAGAGTACTATGGCATCATAGCTCAAAGAAACCTTAAACTCTTGGGTTCAAGTGATTCTCTTGCCTCAGCCTCCCAAGTAGCTGGGACCACAGGCACCTCCCAGAATGCCCGGCTATTTTTAGAGGTGGGATCTCGCTCTTGCTCAGGTTGGTCTCGAACCGGTGAGCTCAGGGCAATTCACCCACCTCGGCCTCCAGGAGTGCAAAGATTACAGGTGTGAGCCACCATGCCTGGCCTGCCTCCCTTTAATTTTAATTCATTGGTCTTGGGTTCTCACATCTAGAACAACCCCACAACTGTTTTTAATTCTTGATAAATACAGCTTTATAGTTAACATTTATTGAGCACTCACTGAGTGCTGGGCACTGACCTATCCACTTTATACACACATACACTCTCACATTTAATCCTCATAATAACCTTCTGAACGGGCACTACTTTTATATACATTTTACATATGAAGAAATTGAGGCCAAGAGAAATTAAGAAACTTGCCCAAGGTCAGGTAGTTAGATGGTAAAGCCAGGATATGATATGAACCCAGGTACCCCGGCACCAGAACCTGTGCCTTAACTACTAGTCTGCACTGCTTTATATCCTTTCCTGTGCATGATGACTTTTCAAATGTTTGATGCTGCCATGTTCCCCCCATGAATATTTTCTTCCCCAGACTAAGTTTTTGTCTTCCACATCCATTATCCTCTTCCAAGTAGGTTGCGGTATGCTCAGGTTCCTTCAAAATTGGCTTGGCGCCTGTGGCTCAAGTGGCTAAAGCGCCAGTCACATACACCTAAGGTGGCAGGTTTGAATCCAGCCTAGGCCCGCCAAAACAACGATGGCTGCAACCAAAAAATAGCCGGGCGTTGTGGCGGGTGCCTGTGGTCCCAGCTACTTGGGAGGCTGAGGCAGACTTGCTTGAGCCCAGGAGTTGGAGGTTGCTGTGAGCTGTGATGTTACAGCACTTTACCCAGGGGGATAGCTTGAGACTCTGTGTCCAAAAATAAAGAAAACCAAAATAAATAGGATTAGAAGTAAATATAATCTTTTCTTTTTTTGAGACAGAGTCTTGCTATGGAACCTCAAATTCTTGGGTTCAAGTAATCCTCCCTCCTGTCTCAGTCTTCTAAGTAGCTGATGTTCATGCCACCAGACCTAACTAATGTTTTCTATTTTTGGTAGAGACGGGGTCTCTCTCTTGCTCATATTGGTCTCAAATTCCTGACACTGAGCAATCTTCCTGCCTCAGCCTCCTAGAGTGCTACGATTATAGGCATGAGCCACCATGCCTGGCCTCAAATATAATCCTTTTGATCAACTTTTCAAGAGAAAAATGAGAGATAGTTATGTCCCACTATTTTAGACACTATACTTCTATTAAACACAGCTTACACTGGGAGAGAAGACAGAAGAAATTCTCTAAGGACATAATGAAGCACTGACCCAAATGATGTGGCTTAGGCAAGAAATCCTAGAAAACCTCACAAGCAAGTACACTGTCTCTAAGGACAGGGCCCCATTCTCTCTGTACTTAGAGAATGTGGTTCTAAGTTCACAATATAGAACCAAAGCAGTGTTGATGACTTCATAGTGTAAATAATCAGCTAAGGAAAAAGGCTAAAAGCAGTGGTTCTCAACCTTCCTAATGCTGCTACACTTTAATACAGTTCCTCATGTTGTGGTGACCCCCAACCATAAAATTATTTTTGTTGCTACTTCTTAACTGTAATTTTGCTACTGTTATGAATTGTAATGTAAATATCTGACATACGGGATGTATTTTCATTGTTACAAAGGGGTCGCGACCCACAGGTTGAGAACCGCTGGCTTAGAACAACAGCAAGTCATGGCCTTGAAAACAGGTCCAAGGGCTGAAGTTAAAGAGCAGCCTCCAAGAACAAGACTGTCGGTGATATATGTTCTATATTTACCCAAACTCACCTGGAATGATACTTTCATACATAAAAGTCATCATTCAACTATTTCCTCCATGACTTCACACAGAACTAAAGAGCACCAGGCTTTTTTTTTTTCTTTTTTTTGAGACAAGTCTTACTTTGTCACCCTCAGTAGAGTGCTGTACTGTCACAGCTGACAGCAACCTCAAACTCCTGGGCTTAAGCAAATCGCTTGCCTTAGCCTCCCAAGTAGCTGGGACTACAGGCACCTGCCACAGCGTCTGGCTATTTTTTTTTTTGGTTGTAGTTGTCATTGCTCCTTAGCTGGCCTGGGCCAGGTTCGAACCCACCAGCATCAGTTATGTGGCTGGCGCCGTAACCACTGTGCTATGGGTGCTGAGCCAAGAGCGTTAGGCCTGTTATAAAAAGTATTATAGCCATTGTGCCTCCTCATGTGATTAACAAATATTTCTGTGGTCACAAGGTACTAGAAGCTGTAATATAAACAGTCTTGGCTCTTGGCACAACAAAAACATTTCTTTTTAAAAATTTCTCTCACTTGGGTGGCAACTGTGGCTCAATGAGTTTAGTGCCAGCCCCATATACCGAGGGTGGTGGGTTCAAACCCAGCCCTGGTGAAACTGCAACAAAAAAACAGCTGGGTGTTGCGGCGGATGCCTGTAGTCCCAGGTACTTGGTAGGCTGAGGCAAGAGAATCGCCTAAGCCCAAGAGCTGGAGGTTGCTGTGAGCTGTGATGCCAC